CTAGTTTTATTACCTACAGTCAGTATCTGGTTATGGTTTCCCATATGATCTACATAATTGGTGTATATTTCAATAGGGTTGCTTCTATAGGCTCGAAGCAGCAGGTTTAAAGCTACTGTAGTAGCAAGATTGTTTTCCGAGTAGTTTTTGTCGGCCAAATGCAGTGTTATATTGTGCTAAAAGCAGTTGGATTTTTCTTTTACACTATTGATCTCATCATCATCATTGATAAAATATTAATCTCATAGTTACATCGATAAAAATTCAATTAATTAGTTTAACTCTGTTGGTTTTTCGTTATACTAATAACTGGGGACCCGAGGGCTTCATGGAAGCTGATCATTCCTGTTCGTTGCCCTAAATAAATGTTTATGTGATGAAGAGGGAAATGCTCAGCATTTCTGCCCCTTATTTAACATTCCTTATGACCTCTAACGTGGCTGCCTATATTATTCATTTTTTATTCAATAAGTTTCTACTTTCTAGGTTACTACTCTTCTATGGTTGTGTTGATTAGTCCTTGTAAATTCTTCATAAGAAAAAAGCATTTAATCCTTCACGGACATCACAATGGCGAGTGTAAATTTGTCCAAATCCTCCACAAATTTGGTTAATCAAATCTGCTACCATAGCGTTGTCCTCTAGCCAGCCGACAATACTCTCTCTTCAACAAGCATATCCACATCTTCTTCAGTCTTGACAAGTGATTGCATATGTAAGTTGCATTTGGATTGTAATGGAACTGCTCCAAGGCCATAGAATATTTCTAATTGTACATTCGAAAATGTCACCACCCCATTATCAAATCTTATGTCAAGCAGATGGTTATTATCAACAACTACAAACTTAACTCCTGCCTTAAGGAACGTGGTTGCATTATATTTGAGTTCAATAGGAAAATCAAGGTTGTGAGGACCAGGCTCAATCAACATAGAACACCTTACCAAATCAGTGAAATGTTTTACTTCCCTTGGACGAGGTTTTGCCTCCACTGCAGGCACGCAGCGATGTTCAAAGTAGTTATAGAGATGCTGAAGAAATGGAGGGTAATATCTCTTGTCATACAGTTTCTCAACAATGAAGGTAGTTGATTTTCGAGTAGTATCAAGTCCTTTAGTA